GTTTTACAAAGTATAGCACTCTGATACTATAGTGTTGAGCATTGTCACATAGCATCATTTTGATTATACAGTTTAACATCAGCTCAGTGGTGTAAGTAGATTATGACATTTCAATGTAAAGCCAAACCAAATAATGTTAACACCAGCTCGCAATTCAGTATGAACACATAGCCTAATGGTACACAACTTATAAAATATCATGTTTTAATTAAGTTGTTATTTTTTAATTAATTTTTTTACTGTATGTGTACGTTAAAAGTACCATTCCGGCAGCAAGAACGATCCTGAACTAAATGAAGATTAATGTCTAGGCGTGTGATGTGTTTATTGGACCAATCAGATAAGAGTAAATTGAGTCAGCGAGAGGCTCATTTGATTGGCTACAAGAAGAAGGAGGACCCGCCCTCCCCCTCACGCTTGCAAAACTCAGTCAGTGAGAGAATCGTGCCAAAATTGTAAGCGCAGAGAAAAGAAAGACGGAGCTGTACATATCGGTTTATTTCGGGAACTTTTTGCCCCACATGCACAACAAGTAATTTAGACATTTGCAACAGTTTTTTTTTTACACATAAAGATTGGTTCTATGCAGTCAATCCGGTTTGCACTTCTTTAAACTGTTGTTTTCGCTTGCAAATCACTGTTCACAAGCTTGCAGTACTTTTGACTGGTATTTTAGCGAAAAAAAACGTGCCAAAAGTGTAAGCGTGCAAAAATGGAAGTCAGAAGAATGCAGATCATATTTATTTTGCGTTAGCATGAAGCTGCAGTTTCACAATACATGAATTACACTTACGAGTAACAGTAAAATGCTGCAAATAATTTTTTCTTACGCTTGAAACGCGATTGACACCTTTACAAAGCTTCTCTTGCGCATGCAAATTTAATTTACGCTTACAGTCTTATGTACACTTCCACAACTCCTACTCTACGTATGCAAATCTTTTAGGCATTAAATTACCTTCATAAGTGTTTGGTTTGTTAAAATGTTTAACATTCTGATCATATGATTCCTTAGCTTTTTATATATATATATATATATTGGCCTAAATAAGCTGACAAAATACACAATGCTACTGCTGTGAAACATTACGTAAGCTGGCTAACTTATCTAGTTTCTACCACAGCCATTTTTTTAAATTCAAAGTTCCTTGTTCCACCTCAGCTTCTTAAAAAAAAAAAAAAAAATTGCGAGAATGTCCTTTTCCATTTTGGCTCATGTTCTTGCACTTATACTCATGGCTCAAGTGGGGTCTGATTTATTTATTTCTCGTTCTATACCTTGTTACCTGGCTTACAAAATCAGTGCAACTTTGGAAAAGAATGTTTCATATATGCTTGAGGACATGATTTGCAAATTATTATTATTTTTATGTGTGCTGTCAGCTCCAACAATTGTTTTAACAGGTAGGATTTTAAGTTGCATTTAAGTAAACCAGTTGCAGTATTTTTTATTTTAAATTTCGTACACATTGCTTTTAAACAAGCATGCAATATTATTACTTCTGTACTCAACATACAGAATGTTTTTTTAGATTCTACAATCTTATTAATGTTGATGACAATTGTAAAAGGAAATCTGGTATCTGTAAAAAGAAGCTAGGTTGAAGAGAAGACATTTGTTTTTGTGATTATTCAGAAATAAAAGTGAAGGTCACAAATGCATGTAGGGTTGTGTCAAAAAAAGCATATTTGTAATTTTTTTTAAAGTTTAAAAAAAAAAACTACAACCATTCTAAACGGAAATAATAAATATTTGATATTTGGTTTTAGTTGCTTAAGACTTTTTCTCCTGACAGGTCCTCAACTTTATCAAGTGATGAGTCACTGTGAGCTATGGGACAACAATAAGCCTGGACAAATGATCTCTAGGATTGCATTTATTGACTCCACTACAGATGAAATGCGTTTTTTTGACAACAAGTTTACATATTGGGGCCAAAATGAAATGGCAACACTATCTCTGGAGCTATTAAAATGGAGTCATGAGAGTATAAGCTACCCAACCTGCATAACAACTCTCAGGAATTACCTTAAAAAGAGACAAACTCAAGTGAATAGGAAAGGTTGGTCTCCAGCATGTTTTCCCCTGTCTTTTAAATTTTAATTTGAGCCATAGAAATGCATGCATCTTCATGCAACATTAAAAAAAGAAAAAAAGGCATATTTCAATAATATATTGCTTTATCTACAGTGAAGCCGCGAGTCAGATTCATTCAGAAAGCAAACTCCGATTCTGGAGATCAGAGCTGCAGATAAACACAAATAGACCTGCTCTGCCACACACCTCAGTCTGGACAACAAACTGGACATCACTTTAGGTATTGAGGTGTGAAAAAAAACTGTTTCAACTGTGTTTCTAATTTGTTTGTGACCAATTTATCATTTTGTTCTCAGAATTTGAATTTAAATCCATGATTCCCTCAATTTTGATAGTTTTGGCTCTGGTGTTGATGTTTGGAACTGGAGCAGTTATATATAAATGGAAACAAGGAGGTAGGATGCACAAATTAAAATGAGTCCAGTATAGATAGATGTGCTGAAAAAGATAAAAAAAAGAATATAAATTTATTTATAATACATATGCCATTAAAAAGTATGCTTTTCTTTTTAAATTCCTTTGATGTTATAGCTTCATCTAAAAGTGCTTATTTTGCTGCTTGTGAGTATATCATTTTAAATTTTATTTTGTTTATCTTGTGAAATTTATTGTGTTTATTTGCTCACTAATGAAATGAATTGTGTTTTTAAGCGTCTGAAGAGAGTTTGAAAACATCAACACACAAAACACAACAGGAAGCCACACAGATGAAGGAAACTTCTTAAAAAAATAAATGAATGATCTACCAGAAAAGCTTAATTTTAAAAACAATGTGGTTGCCAAAGTATTGTATTGCAAACATGTATGTTAGTGAGTGTAAATATTTACATTCCCTACATTTTTCTGTTGTCTGACTTATTTTGTGATTTTAGTTTTATATTTTAGAAGCTTTTTTTTGTATAAGATTTGCACTTAGCCTATGCATGCTTTTTATTACGTTGTAAAGCACTGTGAGAAGCTACAACATTTTATTATTATTATTCTTTATTGTGTACATGTAGTTTTCCTTGGTTATTTCACTTTTGCTTGGATATCTACCTAAACTGTACACTGTAAAAAAAATTCCGTAAAATTTACGGTAAAAAATCGGCAGCAACGACATCTATAGTGGTCCGACTTTCTACAATGACTGAAATTTGGCCAAAGTAATTTTTATAAAAAATAAATATTTACTAACAAACGACTGTGATTGGTCCATCCTGAGTACTGCTCAGAAAATTAAAGGCTACCACATGATAAGACCATGTACGTTGTACTGCTGCATCTGTCTGTGTAATTACCACTGGTACACCTTAACAGCCATTAAAGTAACTGCTAGTAAAAATATTAAAACTGGAAAAGATACCAGCAAAAATGTCTGAATGGTTTTAAGATATCTAGATAACAGATCCAACCAACCTCAATTAAAGAAAATTGCCTGTAAACAGTGCAGAAGCAAATACTATGTCAGCCTAGCATCTATAACTATAGGCCTATACTGAATAGAAATGGAGTATACTATACATAAATAAAGTCAAAACTAATAAGTTCTGAGGAATGGCTTGTTTAACTATTAAGGGTTGAATTATGTAGGTCTGAGACTCTGAGACAGCCTACCTCAGTTTTTTACTGATAAGCTGCTGCTCAAGGAAATGACTCGCAGAGTTGACAAGTTTCTCTTACAAGACTTGCAATATTTCTATTTACATGCAAGATGAGAACAAGATGATCAAGTTATTTATTTTTCTGTGGGTGCTTTCATTTCCAACATCTGCTTCAACAGGTGGGACAAGGATTTAGGGTTTGATGAAAAGCGAAGTAGATTTTAATTCATAGACATAATGTAATTTTGTCTCAAGCATTGTTAGCAATCATTGTTTTGTTTTGGTTAAGGAAATTTAGTTTTATTACATTATATAGCCTATTTTAATGACAATATCATTATTTTTCACAGGTTCTCACTCGGCGTGGGTGCTTATAACGTACATTAAAGGAAACACTCAATTTCCTGAATTTGGTGGCACAGTGATGTTGGATGACATTACAGTTGGATACTACGATTCAGAGACAAGGACCTACGTTACAAGAGGAAATACTACAAATGAAGATGATATGTATAACCTGGGGGATAATACCGCCATAAGAGAACATTTGTATGACCATCTTGTGGATAAATTAAGACACGAAAATCATACAGATGGTAAGTTAATTTAATTTATTTCATAGTCTGAACAAAGGAGTCTGTTCTGACATCTTTGTTCTCTATTTCTGTCCTAACAGGTCTTGTAGTTTATCAGATATTGGGTCTTTGTGAACTGTTGGACAAGGACAAGTCAGGACAATTTATCATTAAGAATGCATTTAGTGGTTCTACTACAGACGAACTACAATATTTTGATGGCAAGTTTACATATAATGGTCCTTTAAAATATACAGAGCAGGAATCAGACCCGGTTCTGCAGCTGTTGATGTGGTATCATGAGGTTTTTTCCTACCCAAACTGCCTAAATACTCTCAGGTCTTACCTTAAAAAGAGAGGAGCTCAGGTAAAGAGGAAAGGTAAGTCTCCAACATGCTTCTCTTATTTAATTTAATATAAAAATTTGCTAATTTATTTGAACAGGTGCAGTCTTGTCTAGGGTACTATAATAATACTACATTTCTCCTGTCTTGGACAGTGAAACCGCGAGTGAGACTCATCCAGAAAGCTCTCACAGATTCTGGAGGGTTTCGTGTGAGTTGTTTGGCAACAGGATTTTACCCTCGTCACATCAACCTGACCCTGTTCAGAGACGAGCAGCCTGTAGCTGATCATGAGATCACTGGAGGAGATCTGCTGCCCAATGCTGACGGGACGTACCAGATGAGGAAGAGTCTGGAGATCAGAGCTGCAGACAAACACAAATACACCTGCTCTGCCACACACCTCAGTCTGGACAACAAACTGGACATTGATTTGGGTATGGTCATTAGATTATTTATTTAGTTTCGATGCTTAAACCTGATTGACTTCATTCTTCTTTTGCTACGTTTGGAACCATTTCATTCAACAGACAAAAGTAACTGGTAAAAAATGTATGTTAATTAACTTCATACTTCAGAGTGTCAAGGGGAAACATTTAAGCAGGTGATTTCCTCAGTGCTTGTGGTTTTGGCATTGGGACTGGTGTTGATGACTGTGATTGGCGTTTTGAAATGGAGGAGAAGGCGTCACTCAGGTAATACATGACATGTCCTAGACAAAACATACTAGATTCATTCAGACTATAGAGATCTATCAATAAAAAAATGCTGCCCATTTTATGTATAACTATTTTCCTGTTTTGTTGTAGCTTCCTCCACAAGTGACTACTCTTCTGCTTCTAGTGAGTATTTTCTGTTTGTGTTTATGTAATGTTTTGTGGTTCTGTAAATGTTTTAGCTTTCTCACACCTATTATTATTGGTACTTGCATTAGAGCATAATATGACTCATTAATTTGCATGAAGAATAACAACAATATTGATTTGTCTGAATATTTTCTAACCAATATTCTTTCTAATTTAATTTTCAGCAACTGAAGACAATGTGGATAAAACAATTAAATTAATGGGCAAGTAAATATGTAGTCTATAGATGCATATAATATTAGAAAGTACTGATAACAATATGCATAAATAGAATATAATAGCAGTGGCACATGTATATTCCTTTCATGGTCATTATATTTCCATTTGTAGTTTGTGTGTACTAATAGTCTTGTTAAGATCAACTGACTGGTGCTTTTTCTTTACATGGATTGTCATTAACAAGCTCATATGAGTCAGATTGTGTAATCTATCAGAAAGTTATATATTGATGCAATTTGACATCTGTTTGTTTGCATCAGAAACAAAGATATAGACATTTTACACAAACAGCAGCTCCATTATATCAATAAGTCACTGCATGCTACATATGTACATACTAAGTGTCAGTGACTAAGTTTTTCTTCTGAATGGCACATTAGGTAGAAATTTGAACTAATTAAAAAAATTCTCACGTTTGAAAAAGAAGTGGCAAAAAGTTGTAATTTAATGATCAACTGAAACGACAGCATCTTGTTTTGACCTGTGTGTATATAATGTATTTTCCAAAGTTTGTAACCCTAAACAACCTGACATAACTCAGATGTTCATCATACTCCAGGAAATAAAACTTGCAAGACTAGCTTCATACTTTGTTATCTGACTCTTACACTCAATGTTGCTTTAGATATTAGATATAAACATTTTCATGACCTTTGGATGGCTTTTCACTAGCCTGAGAGCAAAATTATTGAAGCGATTATTAGATAAAATAAACAATATTGAAGAAATAAGTAAATATTTTATCCTACTTTAATCATTGTAGGCGACAGCATAGTTTCACTATTTTCTATTTTAATGTATGCTATTTATGATGTATGATACTTTATAAATCTCCAAATTTCTACTACTATCTCCTGCTATTGGTTCACCATCATTTAAAAGGAGAAACTTTTTTTCTTTCATTGTCACAGCCACAGATTTTATGTGTTGTTCACTTTGGCTTTACTGCCGCCTACTGTATAGATTCAGTAGGGACATTGTGACAGCATTTCAGTTTTTTAGACTGGTAATGACAGATCATAAAATTAGATTATTAATAAATGGGTCAGCCAATATTGTTTGCAGTACCTTTATGCTACCTACACTAATTGTTTCATTTCAAATTCAACCTCTTTTGTGTTGAATAAAGCAGAGACATTGTTTAGAAACCTTTCAACTGAATGTACAGTACTTCAAGTTGTCTTTCACCATCTACGAGGATGAAAAAAAATGCAAAAAAAAAGGTAATATTTCAAAGTATTTATTATAAAAAAGGATAATAAATATACAATATATACAAATGTATTCAATAGAAAAATAAGTTATTTGATGAATAATTACAAATATTTAAATTCACAATGCAACAAACAAAAAAAGTCTTAGTTTATAGATGAACAATCTGATTTTGGCACCATAGTCTCTCCTTGTGTTCTTCACTGAAAAAACCCATGGCTGTAGTATGTAACATCGTGTGTCGTTGAGCAGGGAAACTGTAAAGAGGAAAAAAAACCTTTTAGATACAGAAATTCAGCACAAGGTATGTGCAATGCAACAAATCAACAAGTCATTAAATGAATGCTTAATATATGCCAAATAACAAAACACAATGGAAAGCCTCCTTACCATACAGGATTGTGCATCTCTGAAGTTTGAAGTAGAAGGACAGTTGTTTTCCATCTGTTGTGGTGAATCACTGAAGGTTGTGAATGTTGGACAATACTGGACATTGTCTTGCACAAGTCCCTGTGGCTCATCCAGACACCAGGTTTCTGAAAGCAGACCAGTCTCAAGCCTCTCTGAAGTATCTTGTGAGTAGTCTCTTGGTGTTGCTTCATGGTTGAAGGTCTCCTCAGACTGTTCCAGCTGAGCAGAAAGATATGAGATGTAGCTAATAGTGAGGCGAAGGGTCTCAATCTTGGTCAGGGTTTGTCCAGCAGGAGCCACAGAAGGAGGTAAGTAGGTTCGGAGATGATGGAGAGCCTTGGTCAGATCCCTCATCCTGAGCTTCTCTCTTTCACTGGCCGTCTGACGCTTCACTCCAGGGTTTTTAGACCTGGAACGTCTCTTTCCATCAGCCGGTAGAGTTAATCTGAGTTTTGTAGCTGGTACGCAGTCGATCCCAGCGGCCTCTGGCTGTCTTCCAGCTCCCCAACAGCTCG